TCAGTGCAGCCATGTGGATGAGTCACGGCCAATGCTTGGCCAATGTGCTCTCTGTGAAAGCCTGAGAGAGTATCTTCTCCCCATGTGACTCTCCTTAGGCCCAAGATCTAATATTTTCTGTAATATTGATGAATCCCTTCTATACAAACACATTTTTTAAAACGTCACTGTCATTTCTAATAGACACAACAAGCATCATTGTGTATATGAGCCACTGAAACAAACTATAGAAGTCGAGAAAGTCAGACACTATTTCCCTACAACTTAAGCACAAAAAGAATTTATGAGGGCCAGCCAAATAGCTCAGCAGATTAAAGCACCTGCAAGCAGGTGCAGTGGTCGGGGTTCGATCCCTGGGCCTGCTGTGCCAGCCCTGCCCCCGGAGCACACTGAGACTATAACTGAGACTGAGCATGGTGGCGTGTGCCTGTAATCCCAGCACTTGGGAGGCTGTAAACAGGAGAATCAGCATGAGTCCGATCTAGTAGTGAGACCCTGAACACCCTGTAGACCCTTCCCTAAAATACAGAAAGAAAAAAATAATTCATGAGAATGTTCTAAAAATATTATATTAACTCTCCAGAGATGATGCACTCAAACCTTAATGTTAATAATATGGAGAATATGCAGACCACGTAGCTATAACTATGGTTTTCCTTTTATCTTCTAGATCCACAAAGTGAAGATTTCAAATATATAGTTAGTCACTAAGTAAAAAGAATGTGAAGGCAGGCCTAGTGGTGCATGCTTATAATCCCAGCACTCAGACAGGCTGAGGCAGGAGAATGGCAAATTTGAGCAGTTTTAAGTCACCTTGGGTGACTGACTTAGTGAAAATTTGTCTCAAAATTAGAAATTTTAGAAAGATTTGTGATGTAGCTCAGTGTGAATGCCCTGGGTTCATTCAATCTTTAGTGCTGGGGGGAAACAAATTTTGGAAGACTCTTAATAGTTAGATTTCTTCTTTTGTGATTTATTCTCTTGAGCTAGTCTCCATAAGAAAATAGAAAATCAAAGCATTGTCTTTAAAAGAGTTTACCCTCTTTGGGGCCAGGGAGATGGCTCAGTGGAATAAGCGCTTCCATGGCAAGCACAAGGGCCTGAGTTCAATCCCCGGTTCCACAAAAAAAAATAAAATAAAATAAAAGAGTTTACCCTCTTAAACCCTCCAGCCTGGGAAGACTGGCGTCTGATCAACTCTGACGTTGTCTAAAGTCACTGTTCCTATTTCCTGATGCAACATATGTTTTCTCAAACATGGTGATCTATTCAGCAACCATGCTCTCCCTTGCCCCAACCCTGTGGGTACTTCTGTCCAGCTGTGTTATCTGCTGTTCATTCTCATTGTCAATCTAAATAAAATGTGCTCATCCTATAGCAGAGCAAGAATCTAAGCAAGAATGAGGACATGGTGATAAAACATATGATAACATACCCTTCCTGGTCATACCCATGGGGAAGGACTTCAACCAGGCCCTACCTCCTAACACACTTTCAACTACTGAAGTCATCATTGGATAATCCCACTGATGAGTATTGGACCCCACAATCCAATAGCATCCCACAGACCTTACTTTGAACATGTGATACTTTTGGGGATATTCTAGCTCTAAAATATTACAGTACATATCTGATAAAAGATATATCCAAAAATGTACAAAGAGCTCCTAAAAGACAAATGTAAATGAACAAAAATGAGTAGGATTCAAAAGAAAATACATGTTATATTTAGATGCCTCACAAGAGACTCATGAGCTCAAAAGTGGGGCTTTTGTAAGGTGGTTGAATTAAAGAGACTGATAGCTGGCATGTTATTAGTAGGTGGGGTCTGGGTGGAAGATGTGGGTTCCTAGACATGAGCCCTGAAATGGTTAAAACCCAAAACTCATAATATCAATTGCTGGCAAAGATAGAATAACAGGGACTTTCATTTACTGCCTATCAGAACCTAAAATGGTACAGGCACCTTAGAAGATAGTAAGGCAGTTTCCTACAAAGCTAAACAGTCTTAAATGACTTAGCATTTGTATTTCTATTTACCCAAATAAGTTCAAAACTTATGTCTACACATAAATCTACCCATAAATGTCTGCAGCAACTTTATTTACAATTGTAAAAATGGGCAGCAACCAAGACATCTTTCAATAGGTAAAGGAATAAACAAACTGAATACATCCCTAGAATGAACTATTTTTCAGTGAACAAAAAAGAAATTAGTAATCAAGCTGAAAACATGTATGAGTGAGCTGGGAAATCATGCACACCCACATTTCTAGCTACTACAGAGGCTGAGGTATGAGTTCAAGGCTGCTTACTGGCAACCTAAAGAAACGTATCTCAAAATTCCACAAGGGCCAGGCATGTAACTTGTACTTGAGCACTTGCCTAATAATATACTTAGGCAAGCCTAAGTTAAATCCCCAGTAAGGTAGGCTGACTAAGTGAGAGAACTAAGTCTGGAAAAGAGTCTATGCTGCACAATTCCAAGTATGTAACATCTTGAAAAGGTAAAAGTATACAGACAATAAAAATCAGTAGTGGCTAGGGATTTGGGGATTCTCAGAGGGTGT